CCCGCCCCTCACTTACCTGAATCATGGAGTTCTTCTCCCTGCAGGATGGTGCGGATTTTTGAATTCAGCGCAAAAAGTGCTAATTCGGTCAGAGTCATTAGTGCACAAAATTGCAAACAGGGTGCAGGAGGTGTTACTGCCGGTATTATTCAGTTCTCCGCTGTGTGAGAGCTCCTACTATCAGCCTCTCCACCTTGTCATCAGATAAATGAGAGGCTGTTCAGTGAACCTCAATCATAAATGAATGATAGCATTGGGATTACTACAGAACGTCATTAGAGTGACAGGAGTCTGAGTCTGCCCAGGGCTGCTGATACTGCATCCTTGATGGCGGTGCCCAGCAGAAGTGTCAGGCCTGTTCAGTATTATAAGGTCATTAATAATTAAAAACCAAAAATAATTCAATCTGACTTATACTCTTATGGGAAATTGTTGAAGCTATTAATAGCTTGGGTACAGGGTTTCTTCAACACATTTGACAGCAGTGGTACTTGTCCCAGTTCTTGAGCACCGGATACCCTAGAAAAGCCTTTCTCAATGCACCCTGGGGCACCTAGGGGTGCCTTGAAATCCTACTGATGTGAAGAGGGGGGACTTCTGATGTGCAGCTTGTGATGTGAAGGCGGGGAGGAAAAAGAGGAAGATCTCATGTGAAGGGGTGCTCCTATTGTAAGAGAGGGGCCTCAGATGTAAAAGGAAGGGGCTTCTGGTATGAAGGGGTACTCTGATGTAAAAGTGGGGGGCTCTGATGTGAAGGGGGGCTCTTGATTTGAAGGGCGGACTTCATTTTTTTGCATGGGGTTCCCCCCTAAAATCCATTACATTTTAGACAGGGATGCCTTGAGATTTCCCATACTTTTAAAGGGTGCTGTTCCCGGAATAATGTTAGAAAACGCTGCCCTAGAGTATAGTAAGGTCTGATGTGCTTAAAAATTAACTTACCTCTGCTCCAGCAATATGAGCTTCCTTGCCACTGCTGACATCTTTGAAGGATCTTGTTCCGGGTTTTACATGGGCGCGTCAGTTTATTCCCGACACTAAAGCATGCGCAAATTCCACCAAGACATGCGTTGTTCAGTGCACAAACCACAGACGTTGTCCTTCAAGTACAGTTCCACGTAAACCATTTTGTCTGTAGTGACCCCTAACCTACATGACTGTACTGACATCAGACCTACTTGATTGATTTATAGGAGGAAAAGTGAAAAGAGATCAAATGACACCTCAACCATGGAGAAGGGAGATGTAAGAAAGAAGTATGTCCTAAAATGCACCATGTAGAGGAGGTATGTCCTTAAAGCTGAACCACTGCCACAAAAAAATTCCAATCAAAAACATTTTCTCACTAGCCCCTAATGATATAAATATATTTTGTGTGCACCAAATGCCTTTGTAAACCCAATTATTACCTTATATAAGTAGCAGTGACATCACCACTGTGCTATACATAGCCTTGTCAAAGAGCAGAGCTGTGGGAGGGACCCATCAGGCCCCACCTACTACAGGAAACTTCAGGAGGGAGGCAGAGACAAGGAGAGAGGGCAGCAGTGACTAGTCTTTATTACAAGGGTTAAGTTGCTCATTCAAGGAGGGGGTGGTCATTGAGTGTCGCTTACCTGATTGGGTAGGGTCCGGTGAGGTGGGGTATAGGCGGCTCTCCAGGGAAGGAAAGTTCCAGTCTCGGTGGGATCCACAGGGTGAAGACAGGTTACCGCCCTCCCACCTTGTTTGTGATATTTGCCTTGTTGCCTTTGCATTCCTTTCTCGTTTCTACCTTCATGGACTCTTTGTCCTTTTTCTATCTATTTTTCTGCTTCTTGTCACTGCAGCCGGTCAGGGTGTTAGGGTCCTTGAGGTGCAACATATTCTCTTGAGGTTTAAGTGACAGTGGGGAGCGGTCTTTGGTATGGCATCCATGTCTTAACGGGTCCATCATTAGTTACTCAGTATCGGATGTTAGTTTACAAGTCCCCGAGGCGGTGTTGTGCGGCTGGGGGCCGTGTGGGCAGATACTGGGTATTTTGGTGGTAAAAATGTTGTGTCAAGGACCTTAACTCCCACGGTCAGCTAATTGGTTAAAAAAAAAATTAATTTTGGCTTTGGTACTAAAATAATAAAATGGCTGCTGTGGCCACTAAAAATCCAAGACCAGTGTCATGTAATCCTTTAACAAAGGGCTTAATATCTGAGTTGAGTGTTCTGGGTATTGGACCACTAGGAGCCATATACAGTACAATGCCCTTGTCATGGCTATGCAGAATTAAATTGTTCATGCATGTATTTCAGCGCTGTCTTCAGCTCTTTGTCTGAGGTATAAATAGCTCAATTTTTGCACCATCAGTACATACCAGTGTCAAGGCAGCCAAAAGGCAGAACATGAACCTTGTTATGTAAGAGATCCAGTCTGACCGGAGATGTGATCATTATCTTATCAGTTCTCTGTGAAATGTCCTTTGATTTCTTTTTTTTTCCAAGGACAAGGCCAAGTTCTATATATATAATAAAGAGCCCCGTGTAGTGTATATCCGTGGTCTGCGGTCACAATGCTGTTCCTGCTCGGTCTGATGCTGCTGTGTACAGAAGTGGTTGCAGGTAATATTATTCTCTGATCAATAGTAATAGCTCAGCATCATATAATATAGGCAGAAATACTGCAACTAGTAGAGAAATGAGCGCTGGAAGGTGTGACATGAACTGATAAAGGGGTACGAACACTGAAACCATGTTGTTTGCATCCCCACCTCCCTACTGTGTAAATATCTCCTTACTATTGTGATCTGGTATTGTATATTTTATACATGGACTCTGCTATTTACATCCATCCTGTTATATACAACCATAGATTCTGTTATATACATTTATTCTGTTATATACATGGACTCTGTTATATACTGTATATTCGGTCTGTTATATATGTGCATTCTGTTATATACATTTATTCTGTTATATACATGGACTCTGTTATATACTGTATATTCGTTCTGTTATATACCTCCATCCTGTTATATACTGTACATCCATTCTGTTATATACATCCATTCTGTTATATACCTCCATTCTGTTATATACATCCATTGATTCTGTTATATACCACCATTCTGTTATATACATGCATGCTGTTATATATGTGCATTCTGTTATATACTGTACATTCATTCTCTTTACATACATGGACTCTGTTGCATACATGCATTCTGTTGTATATATGTATTCTGTTATATATGCATTCTGTTATATACATGCACTCTGTGCCACTGCTCTGCTGTTTGGTCACATCCATTGCCACAAGTCTCCCTCCCCTGAGCTCATCGGTCTCCAAGCTGGGAGAGAAGTCTAGGGGGCTTTGATGTGCAGGTGTGGCCAGCAGAGGGAGCATTGTGGCACTAAACCAGTGGTTCTCAACCTGTGTAAGCTCAGGATCCACATTTATCCTTGGTCATTAAGTCGCAACCCAAGTCACACTGCAATGGAACGCATGGCATTAGGGTACCGCGCGTTCCGGTACAGGTGCTTGTACAGCTGCCTTGCACACCCTTTAGAGGTGCCAGGGTCCAGAATGTGACGTCAATCCGGTCCAGGCGCCTCTACAGGACACGCCATGGAGCTGTAACCAATGCATGTATGGATGGAACTCCCTCGCGGCCATACCTCCACCCCAAGCCAACAGTCAGCACTGGGCAGAATATTTTTAATGGCTGCTTGGCGCAAGAACTGACAGTGCTGCGCTAGGGGGAGTCTGAGGAGCCTCTCACCTAGAAAGGTGGAAGGCATGTGGCGACCCACCAGTTGGGAACCAAGGCACTAAACCATAGCAGAACCGTTCCCATCAGATGTTGGTTAGTACTGATCTGTAGAGCGGGAGGGTGGGATCCTTTAGATTCGGGTGGTGGGGCAAAAAAGGTAAGTGTTTAAAATAAATTAAAATGATTGATTTTGCTAGATGCTATAAAGCTAAACTGCCCGACAGTTTCTTTATATCTGGTTGGGATTTTATTGGTGAGATCTCTGTGCTGCGCTCCCAAGCCTGTACACCTGCTGTACCCATCGTGAGGGTTTCCCACCATTCTTGTGCTGAGTTCCCGAGTCTGCACCTGCTGTACCCATAATGAGGGGCTCCCACCAACCCTGTACTGAATTACTGGGTCTGTACTCCTGCTGTGCCCATTAAGAGGGGTTCACACCATGCCTACACTGATTTCCTGAGTCTGCATGCCTGTTGTGCTCATTATGAGTGGTTCTCACCATCCCTGTTTTATGTTCCCGGGTCTGTACACCTGCTGTGCCCATTATGAGGGGTTCCCCCCCATCCCTGTTCTAAGTTCCCAGGTCTGTACACCTGCTGTGCCCATTATTAGAGGTTCCCACCATCCCTACACTGAGCTCCTGGGTCTGTACACCTGTTCTGGCCATTATGAGGGCCCCCCACCATCCCTACACTGATTTCCCAAGTCTGCATGCCTTTTGTACCCATTATGAGGGGTCCCCACCATCCCTGTTCTAAGTGCTCACCTGCTGTGCCCATTATGAAGGGGTCCCCACCATCCCTACACTGATTTACTGGGTCCCACTTTTCCTGGTGGATTTCTTATATATTTCACAGAATTAGCTGTAGATCAGCCTTCAGAAAGCTGCACATAATTAGAGTTCAGCATCTACTGCCGGCTGCAGGTGGTAAATGTGAATTATTCTCCTACTACAATGTTACTTTATATTAAACTAACGGCTGTTTTCTGACCTGTTTGTTTCTGAAAGACTGCACATTAATCCCGGGGAAGCTGAAGCAGATCGATGCCGGAGCTGGCCAAGTGTACGGCGTCAGTGATAAAGAAGAGATTTTCAGATGGGTGAACAATACCTGGGAACAGATTCCTGGAAAACTTACCCATGTGTCAGTCGGCCCCGCCGGAGTTTGGGGCGTCAGCAGGGCCAACCTAGTCTACAAGTTCCATAACAATAGCTGGATGTCTGTATCAGGTACAAACTGTAAAACAAACAAGGGGCACCACTGCTGACGTAGAGTCCAATATGGCATTTTATTCCTAAAAATCAATGGGATAGAACAGTCAACGCGTTTCGGGAGGTGCGCAATATCCCGCTTCATCAAGGCTTGTAGGTTACTTTGAACTCCCATGCAGACAATCAAGGTGATTAGGTGTGAAAGAGATAGGTCACTTATATGAGCCCATTAACCGTTAGGGG